CCCCAAAACCCCAAAACCCCATGAGTGATTATACTTCAATTGAATTATGAAATTAAGAATAAATTAAATAACTTTCACATTTCATTAGTTTGATATATAGTCAATATTGACTTGAAAACTATATTTTTGCTTCATTTTTCAATCATCATCGTCGTCGTCATTGTCCTCATCATCTTCCTCATCATTTTGTATAAGAGTAGTCTTACTTTGCTTCTTACCTTTTTCAATGTCCTTTTTAGAGTTTTTCTAGGACTTACTGCCACCTTTTCCGCCTTTGCCTCCTTTCATATTCTTCTCTAATTCAGAGAACTTGATTCTTCTACCACCTCTTATGACCAATGTGAAAAAAGTGATTATAGAAACGATCATTAGGAAGAATGAGAATATGCTGTATTTCGAAAATACATAGAAGAAAGTGCAGTATTTCGTTTTCATAATCAGCTTGTAAAAGTAAGCTGTGTTAACCAGAGAGTTCAATTGCTCGCAGGTGAACTGGACTATATAAGTAGTGAGTACATTCATCAGCATAGCATTGAATAGGAATGAATTTAGCTGCGTCTCATTCTCACTATAATGCAATTAATGAAATATTCTGCTTACGTTATTGGATAGAAGGTAAAGCAAGCTGTTCGATACCCATAGGTAGAATTTCCCTTAACAGAAATGATCAGTAGATAAAAAGCCATGATGACAAATATGAAACTACCGAATATTGAGAGCTTCATATCAATCAAAGTGAGCATGAAGCTATTCAGGTAGGAGTACTTTAAAATAGAGGGACTGACTTTAAGAACCAAAAGTATCTCAAGGATGCTTTAATAACTTCAAGAAACGATAGTACTTACATCTAAGCAAACCAATTTAGAGTGAGTAGAGCACAGATAATTCCAAGTACAAGTTTGAAAGTGTACCTCAAAGGTTCAACCTTTTAACTGTAGTTTGCTTCCATGTCTAGTATTCTAAACTCTTTTTCTGCTAATAGAGACCTAGATTCAAAAATTCTGATCTTCTTATTAAACGCTCTTCTCTTCCTCCATCCAGAGTATCCCTTGATCAGAGCAACATACTATCTCTCATTTTCAATCTGCTTTCCCATTTCTCTGAGTTTCATTGTGTAATTGAGTAATATTTATTTTCTTCTCTAGAACTCTTTATCTTGTATTGGCTGAGGCATGTATATATATTCGTAAATCAGATCGTAAGGTAGCGAGATGAAACCCACTCCACCAAAGAAGCAAAATAGAATGCTGAATGTTAAATGATAAAGCTAATTTAAATTACGATCCAATCCATGCCATTACTCCGATCAAATGAGTAAGGAAGTCAAGTCTACCGCGATAAACTCCATCTTTTAACTCTGACTAACTTGGATCTAAACCAATCTATATAGCTTCCTCTACTGGTATTTCATACTATGTTTATTATGACTTGCTCAATTAATTACATCACTTAGGAAGAAATAAGTTGGCACTGTTAGAATCAGCAGGAATATTACAGTAGGGATGAATACTTGCATAGCTCTTTTAAGTTTTTTCCTCTGATATCATCATGAAGAGTAATTCTTACCAATTGATCTTATTCATTAGACTCATAGAATACAATGAAAATGGGGAATAGCACCCAGACACAGGAAACCTGAATGATCAAAATGATACCCCAGAGTGTTTCCATATTAAGCCCTCCATTCGATTAAGAATTAGAAATATCCAATGGAACCATCAGAATGGGTGTGTAGCTTATTGTGAATCCGAAAACCTTTTGTTTGTAAACTCCAATAGAAATATCTTACAACAAGAATCCTCATTATAATATTTTAGCCAAAAGGGGAGTCATTAGGATGAGCATTGTGGGCCATGAAGTAGATATTAGCCACAAGCAATATGATAAGCAGAGCGATTGCCACTCCTATCGTGTACCAATCCATTTAAATTCTTAAATTGATTATTATTGTAAAAATATTTCAATGATTTATTTGCTATTTTTATAAAATTAATTGCCTTGTGGGGTTTTGGGGTTTTGGGGTTTTGGGG